ACAATAAATTTTAAAAAATAAAAATAAACAGTGGGTTAATAAAATATCAAATGGAAACTAAAAAAAATAAAAATATAATTAATGAAATAAGAATTTTTTTTATTTAGTTGTATATTCGTGCACTTAATGTAGAAGGTATACTAATGCCTATGATTACTGAAATGATAATAACCAAAAATCTAGATTTGCAATCTATTGGTGATGCCAACATTACCTATTTAGTCAGTGTTGTTGTTAGTTGCCTGTGTTTAATGTGCCTCTGGGTGAGTTTAACCTCCAACCTTGTGGCTAGTAGTCCAACGCTTAATATTTTGGTTTGTATAGCACCAGAAATATTCAACCTTACAAGTCTATGCATGTTTAGGTAACGGCAGAAACTAGCTTTCTCAGAGTCCCTTGAAGTTAGTGTGTGACCCAAGCTCTGCCAATCAGATACACCTATGAGAAGGTTAAGTTCAGAAAAAGGAAGCACTGTGAAAATTGTGAAAACTATTCTAGTGAGGGTGATGAAAGATATATCCAGCTTTGAAAGTAGCAGTGGCAAAGTCTTAGAAATACTGTCCTCTGCTCAGCATCAAAGTTGTAAACTCCTGTCTGTGGGTCCCACTGGAACAGTCTGGGGCTATAATTAGGGTGAATCCTGACTAGATAGCTTTCAAGCCAAATCTTCTCTCTAGCCTTCCTAGAGATTCTGTGACAGACCAAATGCATTTTCCGGTTGAAATAGCTAAAATAATTGTTAGTGAAACAAACATATGATCTACTCACTTTTTGTTAATAGACCATTTTTATATTTCTTTCATGTCAGGCAAATTTGATAAAACCTTTTTCATAAATTTCCAACGGGTACAAAGGAATCCCCAATGTTAAGATAGTGGTTCTAAATAAGCATTAAGAATTTAGGTGATGTTGTCACTTAAAATGTGAAACCAAGAGGTAAGAAGGATTTATCAAAGATTCTGATCACTAGAATATGTAGGAGATTCTCACAAGTAATGTTGTTGTTACTGTTAGTCACTGTCAAGTCAATTCTGACTCATGATGACCCCATGTGTGCAGAGTAGGATTGCTCCATAGGGTTTTCAAGGATATTACCTTTCAGAAGCAGATATCCAGGCCTGTCTTCCAAGGTGCCTCTGGGCGGGTTCGAACTGCCAACCTTTCTATTAGTAGTTGAGCACTTAACTGTTTGTGCCATTCAGGGACTCCTTACAAGTAACACTGATGTATATATTTACTAAAAATAGTAGATATTTTTATTACCATGTGAGAAATTGCTGTCTTTGGTGAATTAATGTCAATTATCTTGGCATTTGGCATTTTCAATTCATCTTCAAAGCACAAGGGAAGCAAGGTTTTCTTTTTTACTGAACAATGCTCACTTAATTGATAATCTCTGATCGATTTACTTTCTTCTATACTAAAATCATTCATCTGTAAGGGAGGTAGTTTTCTGAAAATAAACACAAGTTCAGCATAAATGTTTGTTTTTTAATACATTTTATTTATTTATTTTGTTGTTGTTCGGAATATACACAGCAGGGCATACATCATTCAACAGCTTCTATAAGTTCAATTCAGTGGCATTGTCTACAGTCTTTGAGTTGTCAGCATAAATGTTTTTAGGGCTAATCTTAGCTTATCAGTTCTTGCCTGTTTTCTGTGATCTCTAGCAGTCATTGCCAACACATGCCATAGAATTTCAACCTGACAAGACCATTCCTTCCTGCTTAGTTTGTGGGGGGAAATAACAAAATCAGGCATTGGAGCAAGACAGCCATGTGTCTCTTTGGCTTTTTATTGGGGTGAAGGTGTATTATATAATTGAAGAAAACACCACAGGTCGAGAGGTGAAATGCTGGGAGAAAACTACTTTCGGGACAACTCTTTGCCAACATAGAGTGGACCTAGCTTAGTTAAGAGGATGGAATGGTGTGAACAGGCAGAGTAAGGATATAGTTTTAATTACAGAACTCCCTTGATTCACATGTGACATGGACTTGTCAAGGTAATTGCCATTGCAGGGGTGAGGTAATCCATACTAAAGGCTCAGGGTGGATGATGTATGGACTGCCTACTGTAAGGGAAAATGAAGGACATGACAGCAACTCTGAAAATTCTACCACTCAATGAGAGTTGGGTGTGGATCCTATCCAAGTTTATAGAGAATAGAACATGAGTTCATGAACCACAGAAGTCAGCAGCCAAAGAACATCTGGGGATGGGACCTGTGCCACAAGAGCACTGACCAGGACCCTTGGTCAAGTCCCTTTTCCTTATTCATATTCTCAGACATCATCTTGGAAAGAAATAGAGGGACTGTTTAAACCGAAAGAGGCTGTACACTATTTGTTCCAAAAAAGTTTAAAACACTGTGAATTAAAGATACATATGTGTATGTATGTATGTATATATATATATATATATATAGACACACATACAAATATATATATATATATATATATATATATATATGAATATATATATATATATATTCACAGAGGCTGAGGGCTCATAAAAAGAGCAGAACTTTATATAAAAGTAAAAAAGCTATTTTTTTCATGTCCATATTATAATATGACTAGATTTGTGTTCCTCCTGTAGAAACAAATAAGAAATAAGACAAAACAAATAAGAAATAAATAAGAATAACTGTATTCTTATTCATTTTTCAGTATCTTTCTATCCATTAAACTGAGAACTTGTGGTAGGTACAGGTTGTGCTTAAGGTATGGATGTAATATCAACTAACCAAGCAGTCTTTGTTAGTTGAGAGCATACTTCCCCAACTGATAGATTCCTATTCAACTTTGGGAGGTGTTAGATTCTGTTAACAGAAAACTCAACTACATGTGGTTTAAATAATAAGAGTATTTACTATCTCAAATAACAAGAAGTCCGTCATACATACAGCCTGTTGTATGGGACTAGATGGAAACAATAAACCATGACAAATTCATTCTGATCTACTAGAAAATAAAAAGCAGAACTAATCTTATTAGAAACATTATTGAACAGAAGAAAATACTACAAAGTGTTTTAAATTTACCTTTCATTTATAAAATCTTCTGAATGGCCGACAGAATCAAATGTTACTGTAGATTTATTTTTGGTTTGAGCTGAAATTATAAAAGATTTTCATGAAACAGACACACACATTATGGCATTTAGAAAATATCTTATATAAAATATTTTAGAATTTAAAATGGCATATAGGAAGCACCTAATACACTTCCCAGTCCACAGTAGATAGTTAGTAACTTCTTGAGTGAGCAAAGTAGAACTGGAAAAGACAGGCGAAGGCTTAGGTAGATCAAGTACAAAACTGGCAATTTGTATGTGTATGTGCATATGTAAGAAAGGCATTGCAGAATTTTCAAATCTTTCTAATATATGAAGTTACTGTTAACCAGTAGGATGTCTCAGATAGTTAAATACAGTTGGTATAGAGAGGGAGGTCAGTTGTGTTGTTGTTGTTATGTGCCATCAAGTTGGACCCGACTCACAGTGACTCCTCCTTGGGTTTCCGAGGCAGAATCACTATGGAAGTAGATCGTGTAACCTTCCTTTCCAAGGAGTAGGTGTCACCTAAGATGAAGGAAGTGTACTAAGGTGGAACTCTTCCAAATATGTCTGGTGGCCACTCTCCTGTTTCAAGGTGTTCCTAGACAAACAGGCTTTTGGCCACAAATTCAGCTTTTTTCCTTGTCCTTAAGTAGCTTATGTTCTAATGCAGTGCTTCCCAACCTTTACATATCATAGCAAATGTTCCAATCATGATTTGTACAACATGCTGGGATAAACTCTTGAGTTTATTGTGGCCAGGCTACTATGGAGCCCACCCAGCAGTTTTAAAAGCTAAAAGATCAATATTTCAGCATATCTGTAACCCTTGCCATGTACATCACATTGCCACATACTGACTGGGAAGCTCTGTTCTATAGAGAGGACACAGTCAATAAACATGCAAACCAACCAACAAATAAATAGATAAAATATTCTTAACTATGTGTATTATAGAAGAATATACAACAAAGTACTTTAACTAGGATGGATATAGAAGGCTTTCTCAGGAGAGAACGTTTGAGCTGACATCCGAGTAAGATCTTGCTCCTACAAGGTAGGCATTTTCCTCCTAACTGAGCACATCTAAACCTATATTAGGGAGGAAGGGAAAGAAATTAGGTGTGGCTATTCCATTTCTCTTAAAAGATAGCTGACACAGGCTTGGAATACTTGGAATACTATTGCCTTGCAATAAGGAAAGGAATCCCCATCTTTCTGCAACTTGCTACTGATAACAAATTCCTTTCTTTAAGTTGTATGTATGTGTGGTGAGGGTGGAAAGAGCTGGAGAGCAAGATTAATAGGGGTATTTTCAGTATATCTTCCAGTGGCTCTTTCAATAATACTATTGCATTTTCTCAGGAAATGGAATTTTGCTTTGACTTCTGGTGTCTTCTTTTAAACTGCTTCATATTATAATATGTGGCAAATTTTCCTTGAATTTGGAAAGAAATTGCCTAGTTTCAATTCAATTATTTTTTTCTTCTCCATCTTGCTTCTTTTTGTTATTCATTTTTGACCAGAATAAACCAGCATTTATGCTGCCTACTTTCCCAAAGGACTTACTTTGGAACTTTGATAAATGAACTATAAAGCCTTTTCTATAAACAGACTCAAGAACTCTTATAAAGAGAGGATTTTGGCCTGCCACAGCTTCAGGGAGCATTTCAGAGAAGATGTGCCATCGACATCTGAGCAGAACTTTGAAGGACAATGTGGTAAAGTAGCAGTTGCCTACTTAATATCCATTCTCTCCTCTTCTTTACTAATGAATCCCAATCTTATTCATGTTTCTCCAAGCAACTTTGTCCTTCAGGGGAGACTGGGCCCCTTCCTAGCTCAAAGGAGTAAATACTGAATGATTCAAGCCTTTGTTTTTCAAACTGTGAGTTACAACCCATTCATGTTTTGTGAAATCAACTCAGCATCTCCAGAACAATTGTAACAATTAATTTCATGCACCAACTTGATTGGGCTATGGTGTCCAGTTGTCTGATAAGACACTACTTTAGTTGTTATAGAGTAGTTGCATGTGATTTAGTCAGTTGGCCTCAAGTAAAATAGATTACCCTCCATAACATGAGGGGACCTCAATCAATCAGTTAAAGGCCTTAAGAGAAAAAAAAAAGGAGTTTCCCTAAGGTGTGCTGTACCTCCAGACTAGAAATAGACATTTTGCTAGAATACTCTTTCTCTTCATTCTTCTCATTGTCTGTCCTATGAATTTGAGACACTAGCCTGTAGGAGTCTCCAGCCTGTCACCTGATCTGTAGTTCTTGGGCTTGTCAGCTCTTCCCCCCAATCTTCTGAGCTAAATCCTTGAAGTAAATCAATGTCTCTATCATTGGTTTTGTTTCTTAAACAATGCTAAGACACTAGCATTTTAAAAAATAGAATAGAAATAAGTCTAGTAGAATAGAAAACAATGGAGTATATTTTATGAATCCTTAGTAATAACTGTGCAAATCCCAGAAGTTCTGTGACCAAGGTCAGTTAAGAGAGAAAGAGGTAATTAGAACTCCATGAAGCTGAATCTTCTCCTTCAAGTATTTGTATACTAGGTTGTGGTATATAAAGTATTTCTTACTGTGAGTCATAATCAAAGTTAAAAAGACTGAACTAAGCCCATAATAATTTATTGGCTTAGACATGGGCACATGGATCTATTCTAGTCAAGGATCCACTAAGGGGAGATATTCTGGAAGGATTGTTGAGGACATTTTTCTTATTCTTATAAAACGGCAAATGGGCTTCCCTCTTTTTCAATGTATGTTGTTGCCTATACAAGTTACTGTAGACAGTAGTCATCACAGTAAACAGCAAAGTTAGGAGGATAAACTACTTGCTAGACCATTGAGGAAAGGCATAGGAACTGGATATTTGCAGATATTATTAAGCCCCTGAATTAACCAGCTCTGGAACTGCTTTAGTGATGGACTTCTTATTATTTGAAATAGTAAATACCCTTATTATTTAAGCCACATGTAGTTGAATTTTCTGTTAATAGCATCTAATACCTCCCAAAGATGAATAGGAATCTGTCAGGTGGGGAAATATGCTCTGAACATAGAGAACAGAATGGATCAAATCACACAGTAGTTGGAAGAGCCTACTCACTATGACTAGAATCAAGGTGGGTGGGTTAAAGAGATAGAACAGAAGGCTGGAAAGATCATATATGCCATACTAAAGAGGTTAGACTTTATCTTTCTTTTGAGTAGAGTATTCATGTGGTATTGAGTAGTGAAAAAAAAATTAATTAATATGATCAGATACTGATATTCCTTGGTTAAAGATTTTTAAGCTTATCTCCTAAACTAAGGGGCCCTGGTGGCTCAATGGGTAAGAACTTGGCTGGTAACTGAGGAGTCAGCAGTTTGAACCCACTCAGCAGCTCCATGGGAGAAAGACCTGATGATCTGCTCCCATAAAAATCACAGCCGAGGAAACCCTCCAGGGCAGCTCTACTCTGTCATATAGGGTAGGGTCACTATGAATCAGAACTGACTTGATGGCACCTAACAACAACAACACATCCTAAATTTAGATGTAGTTAACCTTCAGATATTTCAATATAAATGTGCAATTTATATACCTCTAAATAAAGTGGAATATCTTTCTTTTTCATAAGCACTAGATCGAATGGTGAGTACAGGAGAAAAGACTGATGAACCAAACGATCTTCTATATACCGGCCCATCATGTGAATACAGTTCATGTGAACGATTTTCCACCTAAATAAACATCAGGAAAAATGGAAAACTATCTTAGAAATTATTTCTTTCCATGCATGTATTAATAAATACTTAGTTTATGCTTATTTGGTGACACTTTCAATATTTAATTATGATAAGTAACAACTATGTGATTTTTAAAATACTTTCAAATATGCTTTATTTAATCCTCAGAAAAAAATCTATGAGATAGGTATTATTATTACCACTTTCTGGAGAGGAAACCAACCCATAAAGTTAAAAGATTTGCCTATGCTTACATTTTTAATAACTTTTATTTCCATTCTCTAAAACTTAGACTTCATAGTTTTTTAAAGTGTAGTTCTACAAATGCAGGGAAAATTTAAAATTCATATTCTGAAGAATAAAAGCCTTCTCAGGTTAAATAGAAACTTTAGTCTCTCTAGTACAGAATGTAGCTGAATAATATTGAATAAAAGGGAGGAACTGGAAAACCAATCCACCTATTGCTAGGTGAGAGTCTCAGTTTGATTACATATATTTTTATTTAAATACAAATATCAGGAGCTCTGGTGGCATAGTGCCTAAGGCATTTAACTGCTAACCAGAAGAAGGCTGGTGGTTCAAACCCACCAGCCACTCCTCAGTAGGAAGACTGGGCAATCTACTTCCATAGACGTACCTCCTTGGAGACCCAAGGAAGGGTTTCTATGAGTCAGATCCGATACAAATATCAAGATTTCCAAAATATACACATTTAGGTATAAGCAATGACTTTGTAATTTGTGATTCCCCATCACCAAACCAAATGATATTTGTTTAACACCTATTATTTTCTTTCACTGGGCACAGAATATATTTAATTCTAGATCAAATGAGTAAAAAAAGAAAGAATATGACAAAAATCTAGGCCATGAAGAGCTCACATTCTAATTGGATAGATACTAATGATTGTTGTTGTTGTTAGGTGCTGTTGAGTCAGCTCTAACTCCTAGTGACCTTATATACCACAGAATGAAACCGGTCCTGCACCGGCTGTGATTTTTATGGGAGCAGATCATCAGGTCTTTCTCCCACGGAGCTGCTGAGTGGGTTCAAACTGCTGACTCCTCAGTTACCAGCCAAGTTCTTACCCATCTTCACAATCCTTGCTTTGTGCAGCCACTGTGTCAATCCATCTCATGGAGGGTCTTCCCTTCTTCTCTGATCCTCTACTTTACCAAGGCTGAAATTGTTCTCCAGGGAATGGTCCGTTCTGAGAACATGACCAAAGTAGGTGAGACAAAGTCTGGCCATTCTCCCTTCCAAGGAGCCTTCTGGCTGCACTTCAACAAGGACAGATTTGTCCGCTCTTCTGG